AATAAAAAAAATTTTTTTAGTAGGCATATCCATATTAGGCCGACGTCGCTATCTTCAATGAAGAGGTTAATACACGCGACCTCCGTAAACAGGCGCTCATTGTACACGGCATACCGGCCGAATAGCACTCGCTCATCCATCATTAAACTACACAATGCTTGTTAATAAATAAAATTAGTTTAATAAGAGCTTCAATGAAAGTTCCGTGCGTACACTTAAGTGCACACTCGATACGACCACTGATGCTTGCTGCTACAATAAAATATCTTAAAAAAAACCATTGATTTTCTCGCCGGATTAAATATATGCGTATAAAATCATCTATAGATAAAAAAAAAGATGTGTGGTGTCGTGGGACCCCGGATAGGAACGAAGTTCCTTATTATAAAAATATTAATTTTAAATTCTATTCGAGGTATAAAGAAAATAAAACTGGATGTTTCGCAACAACCCACGGTCATTTGGTAGCATGCGAACTTATTGTGGTACACTTTATACACGGTTGTTTGCATAAGAGTTAGTGTATTGCGAAAACGAACGCTCGGAGATCGTGGTCAATTATTGATAAAAAATATGTTATTTTTTGTACGTTATTACAAAGTTAAGTCGTACACTGTGTGCATTACTAATAAAAATCTTACGTTACGGACGTTTTTTCCCGGTTAGGGTACCCCTTCGCATCGTCCCATAAGGAACTTCGTTCCAATAATAACTGTTTTCCACTACCTATTGTTATTTACCTCGAGAGGCTATGCTAGCTTCGCTGAACGTGTAGGTGAAGCCACGGGCCTCAGCCTGCGAGATAACATCTGCCCTAGCAAGAGCAGTGCTTCGCTGAATCTACCACCGGATCTAAATCGCGACCCACTGAGAAGATCCGACGAGAAACTGCTGTGTCTATGGGTTAATAGTAACCTTAATGTGTAGTGCTTATCAAAAAGTCTTTCACAGTAAACAGTGACCAGTTGTGGTCATTCAAACAACGACACTCACTCTACTCCAAGATATTTACCTCTTAAGATCCCTTGTTGTCTCAAAAAACAACTGTAGAAATGATAACACGTTTTCTAGATAAGCCTTGAATGAGTCCGTCTGTCTATATATATTTCAACGTAAAGTTTTATAAGTAGGGCTTTTTGTATCGTCGCATATCAGACATTTAACATCGGATGCACTGTGAGCTCATTGACCCGTCTAAAAATAATTGTAAATAGACACGCTTTAACAAAAACGGACTTCAAATAGAAAGAAAAAGATATTTCAAAACAAATTAATATACACTAAAAACAATAATATTTTATAATCATTGAAATCGGTTGGTGTGATATCTAGTTATTGAGTTATTCATCTATTTGTTGCGCGCGTACTTAATGCAAATTTAAGACTTATATGATTTTCTCATGAATACCATTATCATAACAGGACTAAGTTGTAATGGCACCACAAGGGAAGTGTCAATTTTCTAATAAAAAAAGAATCATCAAAATCGATTCACCCAGTCAAAAGTTATGAGGTAACAAACATAAAAAAAACATACAGTCGAATTGAGAACCTCCTTTTTTTGAAGTCGGTTAATAACAAAAGCAATCGATGACTTAGCGCGAATATATTTTTCAGCTTATGTTGTTAGACTTAATTGTTCTCTTTGGAAAGTTCAACAATAAAAACGTTAATATGCTTTATAATAAAATCATTAAACCTTGTTGCGTGTTCATATATTTTATTTTTAATTTCTTAGACGGTTGAACGTGTTCACGTCGCACCCGGTGTTAAGCGGTTACGGTTGCGTGAATGGCGCCGTGAGACATAACTAAGTCTCAAATGTATACTACAAGGGTTAACAAACCTTTCAAATCATTACTGCTACTAGGTAATCAAAGCATTACAGAAATGCTGTCAAACCTTTCAAACCATTACTGCTCTAATAGCTTTTTTTTTATTGCTTAGATGGGTGAACGAGCTCACAGCCCACCTGGTGTTAAGTGGTTACTGGAGCCCATAGACATCCACAACGTAAACGCGCCACCCGCCTTGAGGTATAAGTTCTAAGGTCTCACGTATAGTTACAAGCATAGCTACTATACAGAACAAACGGGTGAGCTAGATCCCGAAATAAAATTTACTTCCACCAATTAAGAGATCTCGGAGGCTGCGAAATCTTCGCTCGTACAAATAATTCCTTCAAAAATTACTTTCGGTGGTAGTTCAACGAACGACTTGTCGCAAATCTCGAAGGCTATATTCAGTTAAGGGAAAATTCCCTTAAGAAATACTCGCTTCCTTTCAAGCGACTAAATGTTTCCCGCCCAGAGAACAAACGCCTTCAAATAAAAGGCTTAATACACACGGTCTAATGGAAATTACTGGGGAATAAGAGGCACGTGACGTCACGAGAGAAAGATATCGCTCGTTCGAGCCTATCGCTGATGACGTCACCGACGAACACGAGAGACAAAAAAAACACAGAAAAAAAAAAGAAAATATTTGAGAAAAAAAAAAAAAAAAAGAGCCTGTTGAGTTTGTTTTGCCGGTTCTTCTCAGGACTGTGGCTTTTTTTGGAACCGGTGGTAGAGTTAACATTTTCTTTTACATTTTGACATTCAACAAGTGTGTATTTGATGACATCCAAGTTGAAATAAATGATTTTGAATTTGAATTTGAATTTGAATTTAGACGGCGATTTAAAATTATAAAAAAAAACAGTTAAAAAAAGAATTTGATAACTTCATTACTTTACGATTCAACTTTAAAGTATTTAACATAATATAATAATTGTAATTTTTTATTTAAACGCTGACGCTTATGAATAGGATCGTTTTAATGTAACGTAAGGCAGAGATCACACAGTGGAACGCAATTGAGACTCAATTGCTCAAGTTTATGCGCGTCCTTACACGCCACGCGCGTAATTGTCGTGACTCGGGCCCCTCCGAAAGAAAAGACAGATTAACGAGCTATGTTCAAATCTGTAAAACTGTACTTTAATACGATTTGAAAAGCTTAAAAAAATTATTAGTTGTCTATAAAGAAGTCACCTAAAAGCCGCTGAAATAAAGCTATTAAACATCGCAGTGTAAGTGGAAGATAAATTTGAAAACAAAAAAAAAATGCTAAGCGAATTAAAATTAAAAAAATACGTACTATAATTTCACACTATCAAATAGTAATTATGTAGTGGACAAAATAAAACATGAACTCAATATCTTTGATAAAGGACTCTGCTCGTTGAGCGAATTCACACCTCATGGCGTAGTCGAAGTCACAAGCTAACACAGATAAACTAATTGACCATTTAAAAATATGTACTACGCATTCACTAAGTTCATCAAACCGCATTCTCAAGCGTTTTTTTTTTGCCCTTGTAGTCAGACGAGCACACGACCCACCTGATGGTGAGTGGTTACCGTCGCCCATGGACTTTAGCAATTTTAGTAGGTAATGCCAGGAGCAGAGCCAAGCCGCTGCCTATCGCGTGTTGCATTAACTACAAAATAATAAAAAAATTACTGGTGGTAGGACCTCTTATGAGTCCGCGCGGGTGGGTACCACCACCCTGTCTATTTCTGCCGTGAAGCAGTAATGCGTTTTGGTTTGAAGGGTGGGGCAGCCGTCGTTACTATACTTGAGACCTTAGAACTTGTATCTCAAAGTGGGTGGCGCATTTACGTTGTGGATGTCTATGGGCTCCAGTAACCACTTAACACCAGGTGGGCTGTGAGCTCGTCCACCCATCTAAGCAATAAAAAAATAATAAAAAAAACTGTAAATATACCAATAATCAACCGCCAATTCAATCAGTCTCACAATTTGACAACAGTATTCAATTGTAGACGCAAATATGATCGACAAGTCAAACTTAGTAAGCTATATGTAGGTGATCTAACTTAAATCTCTTTATTTTTAGACCACTATTGAATTAATAAAGAACAATTTAAACACGGGTAATAAAATCAAACCCGCAAAATTATAATTTGCGTCATTACAGTTTAACACCAGGTGGGCTGTGAGCTCGTCCACTCCTCTAAGCAATAAAAATATTAAAAAAAAAGCGAACTCACGACCTATTTAATGGTAAGTGGTCATCGTCGCTCATGAACGTCAACAAAGTAAAGAGCAAAGTCGAGAGCTTTCCTTAAAATGCTCACTACCATTCTAGAATGAATATTGAAAAGAAAATCAGCATATGCCAGTAAATGACTACATCGTTGCCTATAATCATCATCGTCATTCTCCTGTTCTTCTCCCAATCACATGGAGTCGGGGTGTTTTCTCCTTCCATACTCTTCTATCATATACCATTTTTTCGCTCACTCCCCTCTTACACATATCGTCTTTCACGCAATCCATCCATTTTTTCTTAGGTCTATCTCTTCCTCGTCAACACATACCATTAAAGTGTTTATTTCTAAAAAGGTCAATCAACAACTCCTCATTTATGGAGCCATCAAATAAATCATAGCACACATCGACATGTGAACGTTACACAATGATGCGTTGATGTGTTTGTGCGGTCGTCAATAAAAATGCAATTCCTTTTTATTATCTGGCCAAAGTTAGATTTAAAGACTGTTGATAAAATGCATTTGTAAACTGCGGCATAGTTATTTAAAACACCTAAAGTAATTCCCGCTGCATTCCCGACGCCGTGAAACAAGCGCCGGGTCACGTCTATTTTTGGTCAATAAACTTGCATTGCGTCTTTTTTATTTATTGCTTAAATGGGTGAACGAGCTCACAACTCACCTGGTGTTAAGTAATTACTGTAGCCCATAGATATATATCTACGACGTATATCCGCCACCCACCTTGAAATATAAGTTCTAAGGTCTCAAGTATAGTTACAACGGCTGCCCTACCCTTCAAAACGAAACGCATTACTGCTTCATGGTAGAAATAGGGAGGGTGGTTGTACCTACTCGCCCGGACTCACAAGAGGTCCTACCACCAGTAAAAAACTGCTGTGCCGGTCAAGGACTCAAAGCTATATTTTTTTGTTCCAGGCACAATGGGAGACCGAACGATTCGCAGGATCATCATACTCAACATACTCTTCGTAACGATAACCGCAGACTTCACGAACAACTGTCCGGAGCAATGCAAATGCAGCTGGGCTGGCGGCGACAAGCAGGCGGACTGTTCCCATGGCCACTTCGACTCGATCCCGAAAACTTTAAGCTCGGACATACAGAAACTGAATCTAACCGGCAACGACGTGTACGAAATAACAATACACGCCTTCCACGACGTCGGTCTCATAAATCTCTGGAAGCTGACGCTGAGTGAATGCAAACTGCAAACGATACAGAGGAGCGGCTTCTTCGGCCTCGGGATCATGATCGAATTGGACTTATCAAAGAACGACCTCAAGTCATTACACCCGGACCTCTTCAAGGAGACCCCGAAAATACGATGGATCCTACTCAACGATAACAAAATAGAGAAATTAGACGACGGATTGTTTAGCAACTTGGCCTATCTGCAGAAAGTCGATCTGAGCAACAACAGAATAGTACACATCGGAATGAAAACTTTCGTTAACATCCCAAAACTCAACTTCTTGAGGCTAGATAGCAATAAGCTGGAATACTTGAAGGGTGACACGTTAGAAGGGATCAGCTCCTTATCTAACCTGGACGTGCAAGACAACCCTTGGCGTTGTGATTGCTACCTACAACCGTTCAGAAACTGGGTCATCAGCAAGAAGTTATACACTTCAAACGTTTACTGCGCTGACCCTCCGAAGGTCCATGGGAAAACGTGGAAAGAACTCGACACCAACGATTTCGCATGTAGACCCAGTATTGTGTACCCGTCGACGAGTACCACTCTGAGATCAGCAGACAACAACATCACCTTAGCTTGTCATGTCAACGGGAATCCATTACCAGAAGTCAACTGGGTGTTGAACGCACAAATCATTGACAGCACGTACCGATACGAAGGGGAAATAAAATACTATATCTCGCAAAGTAAAGGAGAGAACACCGAGTGGGTGAATTTGACAATAACGAATGTGGGTACAACTGATAATGGAGAGTATCTGTGTGTTGCCAAAAACCCGGGCGGAGTAGAAGAGAGGAGCGTAACTCTGGCTGTGGTCCAGACTCCGCCGGGCGTGATTGTTCCGACCGGCATGAACAATAACATGATGCCAGTTCTCATTGGAGTATCATGCACAGCAGCCATCATACTAATCATCCTTGTCATACTATGTTACTGCTGCTGTAGAAGAAGGACTACTGATAAGAAAGCGGAGAACACTAACGGGGAAGCACTCATCGAAGGTTCTGTTATACCTGAAATGGAGAAGAGTTTGATAACCGCTGTGAATCCAGTGACGAAACCTCCGAGACGCTACGACGTTCCACCTTCAATCACCAGTGGTACTGAGATGTCTGAGTTGAATAAAACATTGCTGGACAATGATTCTGTATTTGGTAAGTTTTTTTTAATCAATGGCCATAATGTCTTTTTTTTTGTTATATTGCCCTTGTAGGCAGACGAGCACAGGGCCCCCCTGATGGTGAGTGTTTACCGTCGCCCATGGACTTCAGCAATGCCAGGGGCAGAGCCAAACCGCTGCCTACCGCAAGTGTTTTCCGTTGTGTTATACGACAGTGAGTTCACGTAAATCCTACCGCTCATCTTTAGACTATCTGATGCTTAAGATGTTTAATCTGATGCTTACACGTCATTAATGCGAGCCGTTTGTGTGACATTGCTACCATGACTAGTAGTCCATATTGATGAAAAAGATAAAAATGTACTTAAATTTTATTGCCAGCCATACATAAATTACCATTTTAAAAGTACCAGTTACCATCAGTATTGTAAAACGACAAGTTCTTCTTCTTTCAACAGATCAATAAATGTAATAGTAACACACTAGAGAATGTAATACTTACTAGTGTAATAATTTTAAGTGGATCGATTGTTAAGCGTTGTATTTGTTTTACAGCACACAACGAAGACGAAAAACGGTCGCTGGGCTACGACCATTTGATGAAACGATCTCAAGATGCACTGAACGTGGAGTACGGCCGGGCTGATGGCCGAGCTTACCCCCCTGATCTGCTGTCTTTCCCACCGAGAGCCGCGCAAATTTCGCCGGCTGCAAGCAACGCCTCAACTGTCCCTGATACGACAAGGCTGCCTCCCCACCAACTCAACCCGGTCAGCCCCATCCATTCACCGATATACGGCATAACGCCAAACCCGAACATGTTTAGAACCTTGCCGTACTCACGATCTCAATCACCGTTTACTGCTCCAATCACTTCCCCAGTAGTGACCCCTCGACAAGGCTACGTTACGATACCCAGAAGACCTAGAGTACCCAGTTGGTCCAGCACTGCGAGTACACAAATCCTACCCAGTTCGGAGGCTCAAGAGCCTTTGTATGATAACTTGGGCTTAAGAACAACAGCTGACGGAAGTTCCGTACTATCTTTGAATAAAGCTGGCTTAGAAAGCCAGTTTTCTCCTATGCGGAACAGGCCATTGCCAGCCACACCGACCAGCTATCAAACTCCCCATCCAGTATACTATGCTCCGATCGAAGAACAAGAACCAGCCCCATCCCCGGTCCCTCCACAACATAACCCTCGGAACAGTATCAGCTCTCAGCTATCAACTCCAGGACCGCAGGAGCCTATAAACAGAATGAGTTGGACTGCAAAGAACACTTCGACCCCTCAAACTGAACCAAGGAAAGCTTTGTTTAATGACGCACCAACAGACACCCCAAACCGAAAAGGAAAACCCGAGACCGGGTCTTTAAGACGACCTCCAGTTGACTCCAATAAGGACGAACTTAGATCACCCTCCAAGGAAGAAATTAAGAAGAACGAGGGTAACATATCCATGAACCAATCTGGAACCCTGGGCAGGAGCGGGAAGATCCCGCCCAGACCTCCACCAAAGCCGAAAAAGAAGCTAAACCCCGAAGTAAACACGAGCGAGCCCTTATTCGAAGATGAAGGCGAAGACGGAACGGAAGTGTAGTTAAAAATACTCTTAGCTTACCAAAGTGCCAATGAGCTTTTAGTGATAACTAACTTCTAAATAAACGAAGAATGATAGTGTTGTGAAAGTGAACGAGAATCGAATCGAAGTGACAAATGACAATGAGTAGCGTGCAATCAAGTGACGTAAGGTGCTCAGGTGTACATAAACTATTCATAGATTTTATACCTTATCAAGTAAAGTTTACGGACCATTTTTAATTGTAATGACTTTTTTTATTTGTATTTAGTATTTATTTGTACTTGTTTATTACTTTGGTAGCTAACTATGACTTGCACTGTTTTTTTGAAATTTTATTCTGTTTTAAGACTGATTTTTTTATCGAGCAATTTTATTACGACATTCCCTCGAGCGTTCATTTATAAGCGCAATCAAAATTTAGTTTTACAAATCTACATTGTCATGGTTTTTTTTGCTCACAAATATCTTGGACGTTTCGCTGGCCCAAGAAGTAAAATGGACTTCATTTTTATGATAAAAACACGATTTTTAATGATTATTAGTTAGTGTTATATAAAGTGAATTGTATGCGCTCCTTACACGGTGGCACTGTACTGTGCCCCAATCTTTACATCGCGGGTTCGATACTGGAGTCACAAATATTATGATTTCAAATTTAAGACATTTCTTAAGCCGTACTCAATAGTGATCACGGTCAAAATGTCAAAGGTACGGGTGGCGATTGCGTTTTAGTTATAACCAAATGGCTATTGTTGAAACTGAAAGGGGAATTATGAATTATTTTACCAAACACTATTATTCATTTCCTTTTTTAGGATATTTCGTGAACCGCAATCTAAAGCAAAGTAAACTGGAGCCCCGAGACGCGAGAGGTCGTTAACCTCGCCCTTCAACTCAGTTTTGGTTGTGCTACATTGCGTGTGATGCGAAAAGCATCAGTAATAAATAGATCGTGATAATAATACCGTGCATTATCGCTCGCATTCGTTAGTTTCAAAACATATTTAACCTCTTTGGTACCGAAATATAATCGCTTTTTAACCATTGGCTACGTCAATAGTTAGATCAAAGCGTTATTATTTCAGTAAAATAGTTCAACATGATCTTACTGTAGTGTTATAAGAGACTCAGTGGTAGCGTTTTGTTCGAACACAAATGACGCACTAAAACTATTAACTTTTGTTTATCCTAAGTTATTTTGATTTTAGTTTCATCGCTTTTCTGTTTCGTTAAAAATTAAATCAGTAAAATCTAAATAATCTCTTATTACAAACAGTTACAAAACTCGTTTCGTTTGCACATCACATTCCCCAGCTTAGTGCGAATGGGATAGCCGATAATACGTCACGTTTTTCTTGGATTTAAGGGCGTTGACTCAGTGATAGTACATACATTAAATCGATAGGTTAATTTTGATCAAACCGGGCGTCGATCATTTGTTACACCCTAAAATCATGCTTTACAAATACCTCCCAATGACATTCCACCCCTAACATTATACTATGTGACCGATACAATATGCCTGCAAAACAGCCCAGCTAAATTAGTAATGATACACCTATAGAAAAAATGGGAATTGAATCGAGAAACTCACATCGAAATCTTTTCATTCAGCTACAAAAGTCAAGTAAATAGAATTCATAATAAATATTTATTTGCGGTCACTGGGCTAATAGTAATTACTCCCGAAATTCGACGAATGTTAAACATTCACGAACAAATTAACTCGANCCTGCAAAACAGCCCAGCTAAATTAGTAATGATACACCTATAGAAAAAATGGGAATTGAATCGAGAAACTCACATCGAAATCTTTTCATTCAGCTACAAAAGTCAAGTAAATAGAATTCATAATAAATATTTATTTGCGGTCACTGGGCTAATAGTAATTACTCCCGAAATTCGACGAATGTTAAACATTCACGAACAAATTAACTCGAATGTCTCAAGGATGATTATATTCCCACGATGCTATCGTCAACCTCAGAGCTTCCGATTCAATCCAGTTCGTAGGATTTCTTAAGAGTTTCACTGTTCATACTAAAACTGTTTGAGTACCACAGAACCAGTGCTTAAGTTAAATTATTACGGTTAAAAATACATTAGTCATTTCTCTACAAACAACCGTGGCGACATTATGTTTACTCGCTAAGACAGTTCCTAAAGATATATGAGGCCGTCAGCGCAAAAGTAGCCTAAGTTTATCATAGTTAGTATGGAAATATTGAGTTTTGAATTTACTTTTATACTGCTTCGTTTGCCAAAAAAAAACGCGCCAAAATAAGTTTTTACAAAGCCATCTATTTATCTATGGGTCAAACTAAGGATGAGCCGGTTTTGCATCAGAATTGATCATGTTTTAAATAAATTGCATTATCTAAGCACGAATATGAAAATTTGTGGGTTAGATCACTTTGGTGCTGACGACCTCATATGATTATGTAGTTTAAAGCCTAGTTTTAACAGAGGTTAGAAAATTACATGTCACTTTTTGATTATATGAAATGTGACGTTTAGGGGAACACAGTCTAAATTTCACATCGGCCGTGAAGACACTTGAATTGGCTAACCAACAGTACTTAGCTAATTGAACGTGGTACGTCGGCTTTGAGAATATAGATAAGCGAAATCTATATTCAATGAAGTTGGGAGTTCAAGTAATGGGAGAGGCTTGAGCAGTTCGGTACAAACATTCTGCCTATTTAGGTTGTGAGCAGATCATGTGTTATCTGAAATGCGAAGCAGTTGCTATTATGACTATGTAGTTAAGAACGCGATGTTGTCTCAAGCTGAGCTGTGGCATTTACATTATTGTTTGTTAACTTTGATAGGCGATACATTCCACAACAGGGCAGCTATGTTAATGTTTTCTTCGCAACAATAGCCTACTACAACTCCAGCAGTGCCTTGAGTAGAAGAAGCGTTAAGACCTATTAACTTCGAAAGCACCAGTCGATTTATTCCCGCACTCATTAAATACTAAATATTAGGTTCGCTGATTCAGTAATGTCTGTAATAACGACGGCACATTAATTCTGGAACATGCCTGTATCTATAGGATAGTATACACGTTATCCTATCGATTCAAAAAAACGGCTTATCTCCAGAAGTGAGTTCCTTTGGCCATATTCTCAAAAAACCAGAGGTGGCTTGATGTTAAAAACATTTCCAGGCGTATTTATATTTGGATGAACCTCCACCTCCCTCGAATTCCTCATGTCTGAGGGTCGTGACCATCTCCTCCCATTATCCTTCTCTAGATGATGTTTCGCCATCTTCCTCTGTTCTCGGCGGTGTGTATCCCATCGTAGACTGTGGTATCCAGAGTGGTGCGGTTTTTGTCGGACCAGAGCATCGGATATGGATGAATGTGGAATATGAAATTCTTCGGTGCTCATCCAAGGTGCCTTTCCGCGGTCTACAGTCTGAATATCATCTCGTATTTTCGCATTAAAAGTGATAAAAAAAAATCGAAATTGAGTTAATATGCGGAATCATTTGGTATCACCAGTATTTTTCTCATAAATACTGTCAAAAGAGCGTAGTTTCATTTTTTTTAGTTTACTTATATTTTGACTACCATTAACAAAATTAATCCATAATTTTATCTTACTTTAAAAGACAGATAATGTAACTGGTAAAAAATAATAAATAATAGTTGCATAGATGATTTTAAAAATATCACATGTTAAATAAACCCTTAAAACACTCTCCTGTAAAATTAGTAAGTTTTGAGATTATACAGTTTTAATGCGAGAAGACGATCTGATGATCTACTCGCTTGTCTNACCATTAACAAAATTAATCCATAATTTTATCTTACTTTAAAAGACAGATAATGTAACTGGTAAAAAATAATAAATAATAGTTGCATAGATGATTTTAAAAATATCACATGTTAAATAAACCCTTAAAACACTCTCCTGTAAAATTAGTAAGTTTTGAGATTATACAGTTTTAATGCGAGAAGACGATCTGATGATCTACACGCTTGTCTCCCGTATATAACAGATCTTGGCCGATGTTAAAATTAGACTATTACATTCAGTTTCTATTAGTAATGTTAAACACGAACTTCATTCTGTAATTTTTTTGACAACTTATTTATTTACATTTGGATTTTGAATGTAAAGATCATAAATAAGCGACATACGTTGAAATGTTAACAGAATTTCATTGCTAAATATTCTATGTATTAAAGGAATTCTTGTACATTTATTTTATAATAATGAATTAAGACTTTATACGTACTACAATGTTCATTAAGTTAATGAGTTTTATAATCAACTTCATCTGAAAGAGCTAAACTTTGGTTAAACGTGAGATTGAAAAAGTCTACTAGTTTAAAAAAATAATGCCTTCTATTGTTTCTCAGTATCGAGTGCCGATTTTTGAACTTGTGATAATTCTCCATTGACCATACCGTAGTCCTAAATAAATACCTAATTTTTAAATCCCAGTCCGAACATTTCCTTGGCTGTGGGGGAGGTTGCGACAGCTACTCCGTAGAGTCGTTTGGTGCGGTAGGACGTTAAAATATCTGCAGACAAGTTCCATATACCCCGCGTGCCCCCTAGGCGGATACCTCTTAGGAGGTTCGACCCCCTAAAAAATAATAACTACTGTTGTAGCCTCAATCCTGTGGAACATTCTCATATATAGGTTTTTATTACCCATCCATCCATAAATCCATAAAAGGATTCAACATTCTATACTGAACACCGAAGATAATATGTACTGGGTCATATCGCATTAGTTTAACCAAACACGTCTTCAATTCCAAATGGGTATATGTATGCAGTGTCACATACGTGCTTTAAGCTGTTTTAATAAAGTGCTCTATGAGACTTGTGTTGAAGAGGCTCGTTGGCAGTTGCGCTCAAAGTTTAGCTCTCATTAAAGCTGTTTTAATTAATGTAAAAGTCTTTTTTTTTATCCGATCACGAGAATGTACAGCGTACGTAATATTTATACAACGTTTACTGTAGGCAAACCAATTTTATATAGTTTATAAGGAGCTATGTAAATACAGACATTATATTAAAAGCTATATTTCAGTATGTTGTTGTTTTATTTTAATTTCCACCGAAGGTGCACGCAGGTTACGTACTGTTACGCGGGGTCTCACGATTAGGTTTTAAAAAAAAAATACATGTGTGCAATTCACACGTGGTAGTGAAACCTTCCAAAATTTAAATACAATTATCCTAAACGTCTTAAGTATATGTAAAATTTTGTCATTAGTAAATAATTGTAAGGTAGCGCCCTCTGTGAATTGATATTTTAATTTCACGTATAATCCTAAATTAAAATTTACTACAAGAGCTTTCATACACACGTTAGTATTAAAAAATCTCACAGATGGCGCTGTATTAAATAGTATGTAGATTTCTGTCTCATTTTTGTATTTGTGTCTCTTACCTGTCGTTTTTTCCGTTGCATCCGGTTTGAAATCACAACGATTCTAAAGAGGTTTTCACTTCAAAAATATTTTGAAGAAGAGATTTCACTTTTATTGATTCAATCACACGAACAACTGAATTATAGAAATTAACAGAAAGGAGATATTGTCTAAGACCGTTCCCGATGGGTGATTAAATACGACTGACTGACTCTCGGTCGGTAACTATTACTAAGTGATTTCTTACTATTCTTACTCAGCATCAGTGGTTATTAAAAAGGATGTAACATCTCTTTAACTAACATGGGGAGTCTGTAACAGTACGCACAGGGCTCAGCTAATCGGTCGCCTATTGCAAAGGACTTCTCAATATTGCCTGAAGGTTTGAAGATAGTATTTGGAAAACGCTGACATCAGTCTCTGCCGTCGTCCTCAATTAGCAAAGTATTTTTTATTCCACTAATGGAGCCATTGATATGACGAAGTCCAAGCTAAAATAAAGCTAAAGCTAAATTGGAGCTATGGAGCTCACATTAGAAAAGCAGATATCGTGACCTAAAATCTCAGTTTAATAATGGCCAAAATGCTGAGATTTTTACTATTGGTAGGGCTTCTATGAGCTCAAGTGTGTAGGTACCACCGCTCTGCCTATTTCTGCCGTGAACGATTAATATGAGTAGAGCGTTTCGGTTTGAAGGAAGGAACAGATATTGTACTAAAAAACAGACCTAAAACTGATGTCTTAAGATGGGTGACGGCATTTACGTCATTAATGTTTATGGGCTCAGGTTACAACTCAACACCGGGTGGGCCGTGAGCTCGTCCACCCAGCAAAGCAATAAAAAAATTAAAAGATGCATGGATGCTACAGCAAATTTGCAAGATAGAGGTGCCCACTTAACAACTAAAAAAAGATCTACCACTACGAATTACGCTTAAATCTCTTTATTTATTGTAGCAATAATTCATGGACTCGACTTAGGACGTGTTTACTTAGAAAAATTGTAGCTTTAAATTTATGTTTTAGATATTAGCAAAATATTTGCAAACAATAGCAAAAATAAATGATGGTCACGCTACCTCAAGTTATTTATATTTGGGTTGAAGTTAGATATTTTGAATT